AGTTTTATATTTAAATTAACATTTAATTTTCATTTTTTTTATAGCGATACTGGATTTTCCCCTTTATGTACAGTATTCTGGACTTGGGTTCCGTGGTTGAGTATTGTTGTATATGTTTCATTTCTGCCCTTTAATTCCTTATAGTTGAGTTTTAGGATGTGTTGGGCAAGTTTGAAACAGGTTGGGTGTGTTTTGAAACAAATGGTTGCTGCCCAGATTTTGGTGTCTTCGCTTGAGCGAGGCTTTTGTCGCTCGAGCGAGATCTGTGTTTTAGTTCCTTCGCTCGAGCGAGATCTGTGTTTTAGTTCCTTCGCTCGAGCGAGAGTTGTCTGGTATGTCTTGTGGCTCAAGCGAGAAGTCTTGCGCTCGAGCTTGCGTCGGCGTCTGGCTCTGGACCTGAAGGTTGCATTTCTTGGCTCGAGCGAGATTTTCTTCGCTCGAGTGAGCAAGCTCTATGTTTTAGGTTTCTTCGCTCAAGCGAGCATTCTGTCGCTCTAGCGTGCTTCTGGGTTGCAAACTTGAAGCTTCGTGTTTTTGGCTCAAGCGAGGCTTTGTGCGCTCGAGCGAGGTCTCTTTGTGTTTGGTAGCTCGAGCGACCACTTCTTCGCTCGAGCGAGACTCGAATATATCAGTTTGTAGCAGCAGTCTCCTTCATCACTTTTGATCTACTTTTCATCTCAAACCCTAACCCTGACTGCTCCTCTCTCTACTCTCTCTCTCTCTCTCTCTCTCTCTCTCTCTAGGATTTTATTTACTTCTAGAGTGTTTCTACCCTAATCTCTTTGTAAGAAATAGAGGGTGGCGTGGGATTCACTTTAATCTGAAAAATCACGGATTTGGAGCACTTTGAGTTTTCATCATCTTCTCCATTGAGTCTCTCCATTTGAGGTAGGGATACCCTACTCCTTCTTATGAGTTGTGACATAAATTTTAGTCATTTTGAATAAATGGTGTTATTTGGTAATTTTGGGAAAGTTAGGGTTTTATTTGAAGTTATAAAAAGGGGGTTTTCAAATGTTAAAACCCATGTGTATATGAGACCTTGGAAAATGGAATTATTGTTGTTAAATTGATGAAATTGAACCTTAGGGTTGATATTTGAGAAAGGAGGAAAATGCCCTAATTATGTTGAATAATTAATTTGAAAAAATGTGAAATTGAGTTGAGAATCATGAAATTGGAGAATTGTTAGAATAAATGGTGTAGTTGGATAATTTAATCACTCACCTATGAAAATGTCAATATTTTATCTATTTGGTAAATTTATTATCTGTTTAGAGATAACTGCTTTGGGCTATCGGTGGAGGATAGTCTTGATTGTTGTAGACACTGCATGTTGATTAGGGAAAATTGAAACTAATCATCTGGATTATGTCATTGAATATGACGATTGGAATAATACATCGAATATGTGTATTGATTGATCATTGTATATGATAAGTGTTTAAGTACATTGTATATGTATCTTGTTTGGGAGGAGATAGGGGATGTACTCCATGGTTTGGGAGGAGATAGGGGATGTACTCCACGTTTTGAGAGGAGATAGGGGATGGACTCTCAAACCTGTTTGGGAGGAGATAGGGGATGGCCTCCATTGATAATCAAGTTGGCCGGAGTGTCTAGGATAAAAGTCTCGAAATCTTAATTACGTGTGTATAACATAGATGATTGAAATATTGGAAGTGTTTTGATATGAGATGCAGTCTCATTTCAATTATAAATAATGGAAGTGTTTTGATATGAGTTGTAGTCTCATTTAACTATTTGGCTAGATAATGAGCCATGTGTACAAATTGGAAATTGGATAAGTAAAGGAAAGTGAAATGAAACATGGACATATTGTCATGGAACTGAATCGTGTTGTAAGTTGGGTTATAAGTGTTAGCCTTTTATCGAATGCTAATGTTTTAGTTATTTCTCATAATTGGTTTAGTATATTTCTACTGGGCTGTGACTCACCCTATATGGGACATCATTTTCAGGTTCAGGCGACATGCCACCTCCAAGGACATAGCTTAGGAGGCTTAGAGACTGGAAGACCTTTTGTTGATATCTTTTGTGTTACATGTAAATCAAGCCAATGGCTTATTTTGTATAAAGAGTTAGAACTCATATTTTGTTGAACCCAAGTGTTGACTTGGAAAGTTGTAAGCCCATAAGGGTTGTTGTCCACATGTAACCTTTTGTACTTAATACTCCAATGTATGGAATATAATGTCTCTTCTTTGTATCATGAATGTATGATTTATGAGTTTATTTTGAGGGCGTTACATTTTTATACAAATGTATTTTCATAAAAAGGTTATCAATGTCAGATTAATTTAATTTTTTTTGCAAGTATATTCTATAACATATACTTTAAAACACAAATAATTTAAATCATCAAAATATTTCGTAAGTCTTTATGTGAAAAGTTAAAAAAAAATTATTTTTTAATTTTTTTCAACTCAAATTTTAACTAAAACATTATTAAGAAAAAGTTACTTTCCAAACTAATTCTTAGAATTTGTTTGGGAATTAAATTTTTAAATATTTTATTTTATTTTAGTAAAAGACATGTAAAAAATAAAAAATAATTTAATAATTTATAATAATTTTTTTAATTTTTTAATTAAAATATTATATATATTTTTTAAATCTTTCGAATGAGATTTTGACGGTAAGAAACGAGACTCTTCCCAGTAAAAAATCCATCCAAAAAGAATTCTGACAAAAAAATTATGTAAATAAATCATTCCTATAACTAAAATATGATTTTCAAATCCACAAATCGCAATTATAACACCGACTGATTACAATATTATATGGACTTTTTTTGTTGCACATGAGCAAATCTCATGGTTGGTGTATCCTCAAATACAAACAGGTTGTCTTAGGTACAACTCTCTTTGTTCTGTTGCACATGAGCAAATCTCGTGGTTGGTGTATCCTAAGATACAGACAAGTTGTCTCAGGTACAACTCTCTTTGTCACAAATAGTAGAAGGTGTTGTTGGGTTAAACCTGAAAGTTACTTTCATAGGAAATGGTTTCCCTCCAGTTCTTCATCAGATTAGAGGGTATTGTTGGATTTATGGAGGCCTACCACGAGTCTCTCTTTAATAATCTGAACCGTTTAATATGTAGAACTCGTTGAGTACTATATGTTTTCAATCAATCACTTTGATCGGATATCGATAGTTATGTGATCAAATCAGTTTTGTATGAAAAAAAATGAACGATAAAAAATAAACAGCTGATAAAAATATGAATTGATCAAATAGTTATCAATATCTGATCAATGTGATTTTTTACAAGTATATAATACTCAACGAATTCTACGTATTGAAACGGGAATCATGGTGGACCTCCACAGGCCCAACAGTATTTTCTAGTCCGATAAAGGACTAGAGGGAAGCCATTTCCATTTTCATAATGAAAGCAGTTTGCCTCCAGTTCGAGATCAGATTGGACGATGATGTTCGACCTGTGAGGACCTATCACGGTTCCCGTTTTGATAATCTAAACTGTTCGATGTGTAGAACTTGTTAAGTACTATATGTTTGTAAAAAATCACGTTGATCGGATATTGATAATCAAATCAGTTTTGTATTAAAAAAAATAGACAGTGAACAAATTAACAGTGGACAAAAAACTAATCCGATGAGATAGTTATCGATATTTGATCAACGTGATTTTTTTTAAATACATAGTGCTCGATGAATTCTATACAATGAACGGTTCAAATTATCAAAACGGGACCCGTGATGGGCCCCTATGGGCCAAACAGCACCGTTCAGTCCGATCTCGGACTGGAGGCAAGTTGCTTCCTTTGATAATTTGGATATTTTATTTTGTAAAATTTTTATAAAAAATTATTTATACAAAAATCATATTTATTGGATGACCATCATATTTGTTGCTATTTCTTTTTAAAATAAATACAATTTGATCATATGACTTTAATTATCACGTCAATTCAATTTTATATAAAGATGATCTTCTCGAATGATTCTACAAAATGAACAATTTATAAATCATCATGGTTGATCTCGTGGTAAGCCTACCATGGCCCGACAACATCGCCTAGTTGAATGATTCAAGTTGTATACTTGTCATCATGTTTAGATTGTCCATTAAAATGTAAAAAAAAACCATATCTTTATATTAAATAGTTTGATTTTTTACTCACTCAAATATGTTAGTAAAATCCAATAAAAAATGATAGTAAACAAATATAATTTTTTTTTTTGTTTTCTCACATGAGAGGTTTCTTATCCCAACTACTATTCAATCAAAGCTTATTTGAGATGTTTTAATCTGCTAATAAATGCCTTGTTAGCTACATTAAAGTAGGAGTAATGCTAGATATTTTAAAAAATTTATTAGAAGTTCTACTAAATGTTTCACATGAATGTGAGACCCGTGTGATATATAACTAATAAATCATTGATAAATGAGGCTAAATGTGTATGAATTAAAATCTCAAGGGAACAAGAGAATATTGGGCCATATTTGGTTTTGTGCCATGACAATCTCACTTGGATTACCGGACCTACACATAGTATAGTGGTTTTATGTCAAAACTGTAGAATTTATTGTATTTTTTCTAAACTTGAAGGGTCTTGAGTGTAATTTAACTCCTAAAGAAGAAGTAGAAAAATAAAATAAAATAAAATAAAATTAAAAAAAGAGTTAAAATTGGGCTTGGTCCAGCATGCCCAACTGTGTAAACTGGACCTAATTTCAGCCTGGCCCAAATGAATTTGTGGGCTCATAAATATCCTCTCACATCGGCCACGTATATAAATACATGTACTCCCTCGAAATTTCAAATCTTCCCACTCTCTCTGCATCAACAATGGAGCAGACCAGAAACCAACGACTCTCTCCCCTCCATGTTTCTTCTCTTTCTCTCTCTAAAATCCTCTGTCTCTGTCTCTGTCTCTCTGTCTCTCTCACTCTCTCTCTCTCTGCTATGTCTAAAATGCCCTATGTCAATGCGATTATTATTGCTTGCAGGCCGAGAGAGAACTGCAAATCACCAAGTCTCAACTCTTAACCGCGAAGCTCTCCAATATCAGATTTATGGAGCAAAAGTGCTTGAAACTCGATCAGAAGATCGCGTCTCAGTGATTTACGTTCTCGTCTCTCAAGTCCGAAATTGATACACTCGATTCCAAGTACGATCACAATCTTCAACATATTAGGTACATTTCATATATATAAACATTAATTGTTATTTTATTACTCAACAATTTACGATTTAATCTCTCAAATCCAAATTTGATTGACTCGATTTTTAATTACAATGAAAATCTTCAACAAATGAATACATTTCGTGATTGTCATCTTTGAATTGGCGGAGAGGTTCGAGCACAGGATTTTTTAGCCTCCTCTGATACGATGTTGATTTGCTAACACCAAACTAGGCTTAAGGTAGAGAGGAGTAACTTTATTATGCATGTCCTCAACATGCATAATGTATGTAATGTATAACACATTGTAGACTGAAATAGACCTGCCAATGCTACTCTCTGCTGTTGATTTTCATGCACAAGCAAAGTAAAAGTGAAGCGATTGTAGAGGTGGAGGTGTTGGTGGAATTGGAGAAGGAGAAGGAGAGGTTTTATGGTTTGAAAAGGCGTGAAATGGAGGAGTTTTGGGCTTATGTGGAGAACTTTGCTGTTGACTGTCGAATGGAAGTGCAGGAGTTGAGAAACAGGGTCAATGAGGTAAGAATCGTTCACTATCTTCTTGTTCTGAAAGTTTTTTGGATGAATTATTTTTTGGATTTTAATGCGGTTGCTATTGTTCATTGTCAAACAAGTCATATGCTGATGATATCAATCAATTTATGTGTCTATGGCTGAGTGTGCATGTATCCTCTTGTGCCTGTATTTGCGTGTGTATCATCACTTAATACATACCAAATTAAGTTAAAAAGTCTTGGATTTGAACAATCTTAGACCTAAGTAATTGCGGACAATTTTATGCTGTAATTGAACACTTCAACAACAGAATAGTTATCTTATTTTAATTTCTTGAATGTCGATAAGGAATAGTGCAAATAATATTTTAATTGGTGCCAGAGCTGTAGAATGCCATGTTTCTTTGCATTATGACTGTGTTTTGCCTTGATGAGTCAAAGTTCCAAAATCTATTCGGTAGGTACAATACATACCTGCAAACTTGAACTGACTTGTCATTTAGATGCACAACTTTACAGTTGTGTTGGGTTTTACTCAGTACTTTATGCATATCTGGGTCTATTTTGTCCTGCATGCACATTCAATAAAGATGAGGAAACTTACAATATTTATTTTGGTTATTGCGAGAGTTCAACAAATTAATCGAAAGGAAGAAGATGTAGACTGAGGTCTCGTAGTAAAATGTAAATTAAAAGAAAAAAGAAAAAAAACCTGTTCAATTCAGTATTGGTTTACTATCCTCCTACCTCACCAAGTAATACCTGCGTTGAGTTTAGTAGAATTCCAATTTTATCTTCTGGGTATTAAGAATGGGGGACAAATAAAATTGCAACATCTTGGATACCTGATTATTGTAGTTTTTACATTAAGTGAGAACCACAATTTTTGAGTCAGTTGTAGTCTTGTAGCCAGCCATGACACCGAAAATTGCATTTGCATAAGCTTTTAAGATCACAGGTTGAAATTGGATCAAGAACCACGGCTTCCTTGTTACTTAAATGTCTTTTCTATCACAACCTCACTATTAGTTTGATTCTTCTTTCAGCTCAAATCGAGCTTTGTGGAACTTCAAGGGAACAATGGATATTTGAGTAGTGCGGAGATAGCTGCAGCAGAGATGAGAAAATCAGAACTTTTAGCTGCAAAAGAGAATTTGGATAGAAGCTTAGCTTCAAATTACCAAATTAAAGCCCAGTTACAAAAGCAGCTTCACTGTATGCTATTGGACAAAACAAAGAAATAGGGAAGCTATGCCAGTTAAATATCTTTGAACACCAAACTTAGGATCACAGTAGAAGCAGGGGCATGGGCATCAAATGAATGCATAGAGACTAAACGCTGTTATCGTATTGTTCACTTGATAAAATGTTGGTGTATCAACCGTTCTATGGTTTGTATTGTTGATAGTGAACTGGAAGCATGTTATTAACCCAGTTGGTATTAAGTTCTTCTTATCCCTGAGGCATTGGCTGACAGAGTTGTTCTGTAATATAGTGCCACTCTGAATCTTATCTACTGCAACTTTTGAGTCAAGCACTCTTAAACATCTCATGGAGAACAGAGCTATTGATCCTCCTTGGATTACTATTTTATTTTATTTTATTTTTCACATCTGTAACTTAACTTTGGCTCCGGTATGGAGCTTTAGAAGCCGATACCCACACGAAAACAAGTGTGCACATTGGCTGGCCAAGAGGGTACACTGTTTTTGAGTAAGTCCTATTTAGAGATAGAGAGAGAGACAGAGAGTAATGTTGCATTTTCAAGTAACAATTATGTAAAGCAGAGATCTTCCTTTCATTAGAAACAGAACTATAACATATTTTCGAAAGACTTGATACAAGAGATTTTGCTACAAAAATTTAATAAAAAATGCAGGGGATTTTCTATCACTAATGATTTTTGGAATTGTTATTGACGTACAATTTTCAATTGTGGCCACAGAGATCAGTGGCGTTTCAAGGTCTTGTAAGTCCTTAGCTGAACACCAACATGAGACCCATCTTGTTAGGGCTTTGGAAATTGGGATTTGAACAAGAATGATTGTTTTGGAGGCAACGTCCCCATTTTGTTAGATTGTTCAGCCGGCATATTGACATAGATATTTCAATTGACACTTGAGTTTATACTTTCTAGGAAGATGGCCAAACACGCTTGCGGTATTCCCCAAGTGCCCACATTGGGAAATATTCCTATATTGTGCATAATGTAGCATACAATTCTTCATATAGACTGCAGTGATTACCTGTGAGGGTAATTTTCATGGTTAGGAAGTTGTAATATTTGAAGAACAGAACTTTCTGTAAAAATAACACCCTGAAATCTAAAGGAACTAACAACTTTGTATACTCAATTGACACAATTCTAAGTTGTAAATTACCTGTTGTGGAAAATCACCGTCATCCATTTGTGCATTGATCAGTGGCTTTGCTGCCCTATGTAAAGGCGCTGGATCTCTCTTAGCCTAGTCAATAAGAAGAAAATAAAAACAAAGATGCATTAATTTAAGACAACTCTATATAGGTCTATTAACTTTAGTTATATGATTCATAATTTAACGCTTGAAATTGATACTAACTTGTCCACCACATATAAGACCCAGCATAGCCCATGATGTTTGTACTATATTTGTTCTGTTTCCTTCCAGTGGTTGATATTTCTGTTTCATGCATAAGATAATCACAATGAGTAAAACTAGCATACAATTCTTCATATAGACTGCAGTGATTACCTGTGAGGGTAATTTTCATGGTTAGGAAGTTGTAATCTTTGAAGAACATAACTTTCTGAAGAAGTAACACCATCAAATCTAGAAGAACTAACAACTTTGTAAACTCAATTGAAGTAATTCTAAGTTGTAAATTACCTGTTGTGGAAAATCACCATCATCCATCTGTGCATTGATCAATAGCTTTGCTGCTCTATGTAAAGGCGTTGGATCTCTCTTAGCCTAGTTAATAAGAAGAAAATGAAAACAAAGATGCATTAATTTAAGACAACTCTATATAGGTCTATTAACTTTAGTTATATGATTCATAATTTAACGCTTGAAATTGACTTGTCCACCATATATAAGACCCAGCATAGCCCATGATGTTTGTACTATACTTGTTCTGTTTCCTTCCAGTGGTTGATATTTCTGTTTCATGCATAAGATAATCACAATGAGTAAAACATGAAAAGTTGAAAACAACGGAGAATTTTGAATAGTTGTGTTATCATTTCTTACACAAATGTTGGTTATGAATTTTTTTTCTTATATATATATATAACCCAGTTTGGAATTTGGAACTTGTCAAGAAGTTTAATTAAGCATTAGAACCAAGAATATAATCGAACACAGAACTTAGTTATGGAAGTTACCATTGAAGGGCATGATTCAAGGCTCTCTCCCCAACCTCCCTCTTCATTTTGTACTGAAAGCAAAAGTTCAACGCCTCTGCGAATTGCTTGGCTGTTGTTATAAGTCTTTCCGGCTGAAATTAACCCTCCTAGCACAAAAAATGTGCCATAGATGAAGCAAATTCCCCAATAGCCATACCTGCCAATGTCATCATACACATCAACTCTGATTACCATAGCACTTCATTTAGTTTTCTTCCCCCCCCCCATAACCGCAGAATGAATTTCTTGCTCAAATGAATTTAGAAGTGAAATGAACTCACCAAGAACCATCGGGCCATTATCTCCCCTCAAGGAAACCTATTGCTTTTGCCACTGAAATTTCGATTTCTTTCTCCCGATGCCCCAGATGTAAACATTTGAATAACAGTAAAGCTTGGATTATGGATGCAGTACATTCAACATGCCTAGATAACCAATTGACCAAGGTTAATATTATCTATACATGGTGTGAAAATCTTTCAAATGATAATGAAACAAAATAAAAAGGACAAGTTCTTATTCTGTCTTGACCACAATGTTAGAAAAAAGTTCTGAAGGATTCAACATCTGAATGAAGAGATAGGCCTAAAAAAAAAAATAAAAATAGAAAGGATAATCATGACAATGTTTCATAATGTTAACTAGTAGGATTCCCTGTAAACTACAAAGAGGATTTGTTTCGTATACTTTGTGCGTGATTATGTGTGAGTGATAGAAACCACTGAAGGGTGGTAGACAGGGGCTCATATGGTCATGTTTGAGACGATTACTACATGTAAGTTGCCCCCCTTATGCTTTTTACCAAGCAAAAAATGATACAAGCTATTACAATATATGATGAGTGTTTACATGTAAAGTTGGTAGTGGAACTGGTGGCTCCCAAATAGCAAAACCACCACTTTCAGGACTCTACACGAAGAAAAAAGGTGCAAAAAAATATAGTTGTTAGGAGTCACTCTGCTTGAGACTTTGTAAGTCCACCGAATCATCTTCACTGTCAAAAACCAAATATAATGTGTGTTGTACCTATAAGTATATATAGAAGGACATTCACTGCATCATATAACCTCTCAGTGTCAGCCTTTTGCCCAACAAGTTCGGGATGCATTTGCGAAAGCATTAGTAGACACTGCATAGAAATGAGGAAATTTGGTTATGACAATTTCAAAAAGGAAGAACTAGTGCATAAGATTTCTGCTAAAGCAGGATCTGACAACCCCAAACCAAACTGCTATTTACAATTGAATTGTTATATTGTGCCTGTTTGGTGCAGCTTAAAAGCTGCTTATTTTAGCTTTCAGCTTAATTTAAGCTATTTTGATGTGTTTGGTTTAGCTTAATAATGCAGCTTATAGCTTTTCATAAGTCAGAAATCAGCTTATTCTTTGAGTGGGGCAGGAGATGCTTAATTTATAATTCAGAAATCAGCTTATGTTCATAATTATAAGCTATAAGCTGTTAAGGCATAAGCTATAAGTACTTTCCCACAACTCTACTAAACAGGGCTATTGCAATATAAACCTAGATTACCTTCAGTGATTCAGCTGTGCAATCTGACACCACCCATCCTTGATGTTGATCAGAGAAAGTCCATGCCCCTTTAGTAAAATACCGATACATGCTCTCAAAATCCCCAGCTGGATTTTCTTTGATCTTCAAATTTGAAGATACAATGTTAGTTAGTGAAATGAAGTCATTTCATACATTTGTACACACAAAAAAATAAAATAAAAGAAATAAATAATCGTGTGTACATGGATAGGAAGCAACCTGTGATTCTTTTATATAGAAGTGTGCTTTTTAAGGGAATCCCCATATTCATCAGGCATATTGCTTGCTAGAATTGCCTGAGTGGTAAGAGCAGTGTCCCATATCTGGCTGCCAAAACTCTGCAATTCAACGAATTAGTTAGCAAAAATATCTTGTTATAAAATTATTAAAAAAGGTGGTTTAACCCAACTGTAAGGCTAGTCATTAGCATTTCTAGTAGGGCATGTTCGAGTTGTAGAAACAACCTCTCAAAAAACGGGGATAAGGCTGCGTATAGCATATCCTTTCTAGAACCCAGTTTAGAAGGGAACTATTTGCTATAAACCAAACTTGTAGATTTTTATCACACTAATCTGCATTTTCATTCCATCTTCAGCAAGCCACAAGTAATCAGGAACTTGTGTAAGATGATGCTTGAACTCATCACCATCTGGGTTCTCTGCCCACCGACACATCATTTGCAAACTCTGCAATAAGAACAATATTAGACTTAGTTTATGCTACAAATTTGAAGAGTTTGAGCAACTTAAACCCGTAAATCCATTTGATTTTGTTTATGTTACGCACCTTTTCAACACATCCTATGGTAATGTATCTACTATTCTCTGCTTCATAACACAAGTACTAGACTGTTTCTCTGAGGGCTCTATCTCTTATCTTGTTGAAGGGCCAACAGTTCATGATCGGCTCACTCAGATAATGAAGAGTATCCCAAAGAAGATCTTGTATGAAGGTATGCTCATAATACATATCCTCCTGCATTAGAATTTAGCATATGTATAGTTTGTTAAGATTGAACTTGTTCAACAATTCAGTTTCATATTAGAATTGTGATAATAGTAGATTTCACTAACCTTGCAACAATCATGCCGTGCTTTACTCCAATCTATCTCCTCGTATGGCTTAGGGTGAATTTCTTGTCTCAATGATTTGACAAGATCGGTGATCGGCCCATGATATTTCCTCCAATACAAGTATGACATGGGCATGTAAGTCATGCGACAATAGCACCACATTTTGCTATATTTTAGATAAGGATAAAATATAGACTTTAGAAGAATCAAGGAGATAACACTTTATTCATTGGATGCATAATTGGAAATTCACTCAGTTAACTATATAAAAAAATGAGGGGACCCAGTGTACAAGACTACCATTAAAACAAGATGGACTCAAACAAACTAACTGATTGTGCATAAATTTTAGGCTTGATCCTTTTATTAGGTTTATTAAAATGAGTGCTTGAAGTAGAAGAATTTAGAATTTTTAACATATTTTCTTTAGGGTAAAGGATAAAATCCTATAATTTTTTTTTTCTTTGGTTAAACAACCAATACAAAACGAAAAACATAGTTATAAATTGCCCTTTAATCACTTGGATG